GGAATTCCTAATCTTTTTAATTTGCCCACACAACCTTCGTGCCATAACTGGTCGAAGGCAGAACGAAAATCGATAAAAATGGTACACACAGGGGTACTGTTAGACATAAGACTATATATATCCTCCAAGAATAACAATAAACGAGTTTGGAGACGAAAACCGTTTCTGAAACCCGACTGATTGTTGGGTAGTCAACCTCTCCTAAATAGAACATCACGAAATCTAGAAAGAAATACCCTTTCACAAACTTTAAGAAATGAATCAATAAGAGAAATAGGACGAGTTAACGAAGGAGAGCAGATAGGCTCGTTTTTAGCTAATAAAACCATCCTAGTATCTTTCCATGCCTTAGGCATAATAGCTGTTTGGAAGGAATGATTAAATAATTTAAGAAATAAGGACCAGTGGCCTTGATCAAGGAAGTTAAACATGAAATTGGATATACCATGAGCATCCAGAGATTTCTTCTTACGTTTTGTCTGTACGGTGAGTTCTAATTCGTCTAATTTTACTTCAGGAATCGGCTCATCAACATTGTCATAGTCAATAAATGGAGAATCAGTGTATGGATGAGGTTTTACTGTATTAGATTTTTTTTTAAATTTTCATAAAAGTCAGCAGCGACTTCAGACATTTCTTTAGCATCCTTGATAACATTTCCTGATGGTGCAACAAAAACCGTGTATATTAGAAGCTGAGGGTTTAAGATATTTTTTGCATTTGGGCCAAAATGAAACAGCTGCAGGTGAAGAAGTGTTACGAAGATGAAGTATAGAAGAAAGTTGAAAAGAATAAAAATTCTCAAGTTCTTTTTTGGCTATTCTTCTCAAAGAAGAAATCGTATTTTTAAGTTCAATACTTTTGGTTCTTATTTGACGAAAAGAAAGAGCGCATCTGTAAGACAAAAATGGTCTAAGTTCTACAAGAATAGATGGACGATATTTTTCTAACGGAAAAAAAGGGTGCACCGGATAGATAGTAGAAACAAGAATCTATCATAACTATTGTAGGCAACATCAATATCATAAATATCCCACATTTCTTCCCAGAAAGAAAAAGAGAATTCTGTAAAGAGAGAGAAAACCTTCCAACGAACATTTCTTCCCACATTTTTATTTTTTATTTTTATCGGAATAACTGATATGATAGGTGTATGGTCACTGGTTGTATTGCCAGTGTAACTTTGAATGTCGATACTTAGACCAGCAGCTAATGCAAAGTCAATCACTCTGTTTGAACGTAAAGAAGTAGATGATTCAGGTGTAAATGGAACAAGAAAATTAGTATCTATACATGCAAGAAAAATCTCTGCTCTTTTACCATCTTGAACTATATCAACATTAAAATCACCAAACATAACTCATTTCTTAGTTAGAAAGGGAGATAAATCCTCCCATGTCCAAGATTTACTATTAGGTGCATATACACCTATAATACGTAATATTTCTTCGCCTTTAATATCTAATACACAAACGTTATGTAGTTTACATTCTATACGTGTTGCTTGAATATATAATCTTACTAGAACTAGTACTCCACCATTTTTATTCTCTCCTTTTTGATAAAACATTCTAAAATTATTAAAGGTTTTCTCAAAAAAAGATAGCTCGATGTTACCGATTTCGAGAAGAATAAGAATATCAAAGTTGAAAGAAGATATGAGAAGAAGGACCTCTTGCCATCTCAGCTCAAGTCCTCGAACATTGAATGAAAAAACATGAAGTGAAGAATGAAAAGAATTTTCATGTAAAGGAACATAGTTTTGCTATAAAGAAAGACAAGAATCAAGAAATAAACTACCTTCCCATTCATATAGAATCTCAGATAGAAGATTAAAGTCAAAGGAAGGCAGAGAAACATTGGCTTTAGCTAAAAATTCGCAACGTTTACTAAGTTTAGAAGAAGCAGTACAAGAGAAAAAAGGATGAGCAAAGGGTGACAAGACATTAGCTTGAAAATGGTTTACCTTCAGTAGCTTTCTTTATTTGAATAAAATAGCGATTAATTCGGCATTTAAAATCTGCATCTAATGGATTACCTTTCTGGTTTTGATTTTGTGACGAGATAAATGTTAATACATCTTCAAGCATAGGAATTAACAATTTGAAAAATAAATTTTCATGTCTTTCAATAAATAAATTCTGTTGAACAACATCTTTTTTTAAGATCATATAATTATTATAGACATCATTCATGTTTTTAATAACTGTTTCATCATAACGATTTTTATCGAATATAAATTGTTCAAATTTATCATGTTTAGCTTCAAAATTATCAAGACGATCCTTCACTTCTGATAATTTATTAATTAACTCATCAAGCTTGACCATCATAGGATTTAATAATAATGTTGAAGATTTTGGTACTGGAAGAGGTGGGAAATTAGTTGAATTAAAAATGACATTTTTATTCAATAATCGAGAGTCCGATGATGATCGATTATTAACTTGAAAAATTTTACGAGTTAATTCAGCACGAAAAGATTTTACCACCTGACACTTGAGTGAACTACATTTACGATTTTGTTCACAATGGACACATTTTTCTACTTTAGAACATCTATGATTTTTCATATCGTCAACTTGATTTCCACATGTACGACATGTTTCTTTAATTTGAGTGCATTGCTTTTTAAAATGACCTAGTGCCATGCACTTGGAACATATAAGTATATTAGCTGGTGCTAAATATTCAATAATATCCAAGGGGCAAAAAACTGATTTCTTGATTTCTGGTGATTTCTGGTGATTTCTAGTGATTTCCAATGATTTCTACTATCAGAAATTAGTTTTCCCCCTTGGAATTATCATTCGCCAAAAACTTGTTCAAATAAGTGAAATCAAAACTTCTCAAATTGCATTAAAAAGAACAATATGATATTAATGAATTTGACTAGTAAGCTATATATTCTGTGTTAAATTTCTTGGCATTTTAATAAAGTTCGAAAAATCTCTTCAGAAATCTTGTAAGTAAACGGAGGCCTTATAGCGATTAATTTTAATTTTATGAACAAAAATAAGACAGTAGTATGAAAATTAATTTTTGGTGTAATAAGTTATATTCGTAAATGAATAATTGAAGCGTCGTGCATCCTCGCTTATTTAGAAAAATCTGTTAAAAATATCGTCTGAGAAATTTGTTCGACAATTTTTTTCGTGTCATAAGTCAAATTAAAGATTGCCAAAGAGACTTTTGTTTTGTTAACTCATTTTGTTACAATTATGGTTGATTCTTTCGAGATGAGCGAAAACATCATGGATCAAATTGAAACATTCTTTTTGCTAAATTTAACTTTCTTGTTAAAATAAATTTATACATTTTAATTTCAGGGCTCGCTGTCGATGTCAATAGAGTCTTGATGCGAAACAAAATTATCTAATAGCGTAATTGAGGACCGACAGAATGTTAACCACGCCGAATTCAGTGCACTCCTCAAAATTTGACAAATAGTGAAACAACCATCAGCATAGTTATATGTATTAGAGTAGAATTATATTCCGCATGAGAGAAATCGAATTCTGTAAAGGTATACTATGAGTACATAGATCTCACATGAAAAAAACTCAAATAAAGCATTTGAAAAATCGCCATAATTCAAACAGAATTTTATTAGAAATGAGAAAATACACACTGTATCATCCATTTTTTTAGACATGAGAGAAAAAACCCTATTATTACTATTAGAAGATATAAGTTTAATTGAGTGTTGAGAAATTTTTTCAAGCATTACATTCATGTTCGTCGCATATATATTCGTAAACAATATAGAACGATTGTGTTATCACCCGACTTTCATAAAGAGAATTCTACAAGAAAAAAACTTCACAGTATTCTACCTGGTATGTTTTCCCCCATTATCAACCAAAATATATAGTTCAGTACTTATTGGATCATATTTTCACATAACCTAATATTTAGTAGAACATCTTATTTTACCAACTTATATCTACATTAACGATATGTTCAATGGCAATAATCATTAGTTAGACACAAATAAAGCGGCATATGTTTCATCTAAAGATAGATGATGTCAATACTTGTAGGATTAGTAACGTTGGTTTTTTGTACACATACCATCTATATATATATATATATATATACATGGTAGTCAGAAGTGACAAAAATCTTTGAAGTATAGTATTACTACTCATGTCTACATTTTTGTTTCAAATCAACCAAGTAAAATACAGTAAGATTTTTATAATCTAGCATTAGTTTATTTCGAATTCTGTAGATTTAATAACGTAATAGAAATTTTCTCATCACTATTTCCAACAGATTCTTGTAGGAATTATTTTAAGAACAAAACGTAAACTACTTCTATGAAGCCGATTGTGTAAAAAATACAATTTAAAGTTTGAAGATGAAACCTCCCGTTCGTTCGTTCTTTCTTTTTCTTTTTTATTACAAGAATAAACTTTGATCTTCTTCTATTGCAATTATAAGTATGTATTGAGAAGCCGAAAGTGTGCCTTGAAAATTTTCTTCTCTTGTTAATGAAAACGGTAAAAACACGAACGACTACAACCTACTCATAATCAACTACTCCCGCTTGTTCAGCTTCTGAATCCGCATTATATAACAAAACGTATGACATTGTTTACATACATTGTGTACGATTGCTCTCTATACAAATTATATCCTACATTTTGTTCCCCTTGATCAACGAAAAGAAAAAATCTACACATATTCAATTATTATTACTATTGTTTTTTTTCTCCTTCTTTCGTTGACAATTAAAATCCAAATGCATTCCTATTGGTCAAAAAATATATAATAAATTATAATTCATTCTCTACCTTGATCTTCTCATCAACATTCATTCTAATTATATATTTATATTAATATTCTTTTTCTCTATCATAGAAATGATTTCCATTGACGAAAAAAGCAACGGTTGAAATAAAAATAGAGTAAAGTAAATGAAAACAGCGCGCGGCAACGAAAGACAATGCCCAAGAAAAAAAGAAACGAAGAGAAAACGATGATTATTACAAGAGAGATAGGGCAAGAGATTCACAAACAAAAACAAAAACAAAAACAAACGACAAATGATGATATTGTCACATGATTTATTTCGTATGATGACTACCACCATTCATATGTATTCTCATATGTCGATTAAGATTTCCCGACTGTGAAAAGCGCAGACGACATAATGAACATTCATATGGTTTTTCTATATAACAGAAGAAAACAAAATTAAGATTAAAAAAAACAATGAACATTTATCAATATTATTTTCTTACCTCCACTGTGTACACGCATATGTTTTGTTAATGTTGAACTATCCGAAAATGCTTTTCGACAATATTTACATTGATATGGTCGTTCACCTGAATGTGTTCTCATATGCGTTGTTACTGATGAACTTTGAGAAAATTTTCTTCCACATATATCACATGAAAAAGGTTTTTCTCCTGAATGTGTTCGTAGATGAGCAGTTAAATTTGCTGCTTGAGTAAATGCTTTACAACATTTATCACATTTATATGGCTATAAGAACCAAAAAAAAAAGAAAGATGTGAATTTTTCTTCGTTAATAATTAAAATATTCGTACCTTTTCACCCGAATGTGTACGTAAATGAGTTTTAAGTGTACTGGGTCTTGCATAGACTTTTCCACATATTCTACAACGATTGATTCGTCCTTCATTAGTTTTAGGATTTGTTGACGATGATTTTGGTGTTGACCAATGACTAAAAAGATCGAATACAAAAAGAAAGAAAAAAATCGAGATCAAAACCGTACGTTCGTTTTTCATTGGTATTCATGGGCGTCGACGACGATGACGATGGCGTTGGGAAGAAATCACATAATTTCGTGAAATCTTTATAATCACAATTAGCTGCAGCTGCAGCTGATAAAAGCATGGCTTGTTTTGTTGCAACGGGATCAGGTTGTAGATAATTTGTTGAACGATTCGATTTCATTTCAGGTGAATGGTTGCTAAATGGATAATGAGAAGTTCCCGTTGGATTATAGAATGTATCGTAGGGTGAATTAATAAAATTTGATCCATTTGTACCATTGCCATAGCCAGATGAATATTGAACACTGTGCGAATTGAAATTCATCGAAACATTTACATTCATTGGTGTTGGTAAATTTAAAGCGGATTGTAAGGCGACGGCAGCAGCGGCTCTTTCGGGTTTAATTGAAGGCGAACTAGTAGTGGCTGGTCCCGATGACGAAGGCGAATGATGATGATGCACCATATATGGTGAATATGTTCCAGCTGATGACGTATAGGAATCGATGGCTGCTGCCGTAGCAGCATCGGTATAATAAGATGCTGTTGGATCATAATGATGATGTGTATCAGAAAAACGAAATGGACTATATTCATGTGGATGGTGATGGTCGCGCCATGGTGAGATAAAACTTCTATTAAAAAACAAAATGAATTGATAAGAAAGGGGTGTGGACAAAAAAAGCCTAGATTCTATTTTTTTTCTCTTTGTCTGTTATCTTACTTCTTTGAAGTTTTCTAATGATTTTTTTTTTCTTTATTATAACTTACCCATCATATGAAGTATCGGCAGCGCGCCATAATGATGAGGAAACATCGGCTGTAGCCGAATCCATGCCAATGCGATTTACTGCTGTCATTATGTTTTAGAGATTCAAAGGCGACTACTACTACAACTTTTGCTTGTGTTGTCGTTGCAATTATTGCATGAAAACACAATATTTCTCTTCCCCTCGTCGCTTTCTTGCTCTGTTTGTATTATTACTTCGTTTTTTTTCTCTTGTGCAAGAAGAAACCTACAAGCTATTCGTTCGAATGCGATGCATAATCAAGAAAAGAAAAAGAACGAGAGAGAGAAAAAGAAGAAAAAAAAGGAGATTAAAATCTCTCTCTCTCTCAACTTCTCCTTTCGGATGAACCGAACCTATTAGAAACGAGCTATAGTTTTAATGATGTTGTTCGACATGCCAGTCAAACAAGATGATGATGGTGTAGTTATGTTATTCTTTTCTTATTTGCTTTTCGCAATTGGTTGACGAGAAATATATACAATAACGAATCAGAATAGTCATTAGAAAAGGAAAAAAAACATACATCCAATCAAGATATGTACGTGCCCATGAATTCCTTTTTTTCTTGTTCTTCTTCTTCTTTCATTTATTGAAGTACAAGTAACACTTGAATTAGTAACGAGCTCGTTTCTTTTTCTTTCTTTCATTTTTTTTTTGGTTATTTCATATTTACTGATATCATCTATCTAATACTCGAAATAGTATTTGTTTGTATAGTCGAAGTTTTTTTAAAAGATTTTATTTTCTTCATTTAATGTCAATAGCATGATTATCTGTCTATTGAATCGTTTACATGTTTGCTGATGATGTCAATAATAACAATAATAATATTGCTGACTTTTCACGTGCAAAGGCGGGAATAGAATAAGATCGAATTACACAAGTTGATTAGCCGCTTTTTCTTTTTTAGAAATACATAGTCGTCATTTTACGATTGATTAACTTAAACTAACGAAACATTTATATCTGTTCAAAGAAAAAAAATCAACCTTAAACTTACTATTTTGTCTTATAATCGATTTGTAAATCATGAGTAGAAAATAAATGAAATACAAAAGAGAGAGAGAAGGTGGATTTATAGTTTTGAAAAAATAATCGAAATAGATTTCACACATTCATTCGATGTGTATCAATGAGTTGTATGTCTAATGTTGGCTTTTCCCCTTCTTAACCAAAAAAAAAAACACGAAGCTGAACATTTTAAAGGCTTCTCTTCTCTGAAACACAAGAAGGAGTCACCATATGGATCCTGTTCTTTTCTCTCAATCCGTGAGATTTTCATATATTCTACATACAATTGATTATCAATAGTTGATTGTTGAGATTTCATCAAAAATTCATCATCTGACTCTTTCATTTTTTTCGCTGTGTTCAAGAGTATTTGCTCTTCTTTATACATTTGACGATGTCTCTTTTGTTTAAAATGCACTCTGTCAAGTACAAATACAATAGTATTGCTCTGTTTTTGTTTCTCTTGATTTTATACGCGTCCCTAGTGCATGCGCTTTGACTTTGAACATGAAATAAATATGTATAAAAAAAAAAGACGACGTGCCGTTTCCATCTTCACTATTCATTATCGATTGCGATCGGTCGATCGATGCATAAAAACAAGAATAATACACACATACAAATATATATATATATATATTGATTTGAGATTAATGCTGAGAATGATTCTTCAAATAACAAAGGACATTCAATTAGACCGTACGTGTGTTCGAATAAGAACAGATATCACTGCTTGAAGGGTATGCAGATCAAGAAATGATATTGTAAAAATAAACAATAATCGATCGATTCATGTTATTTTAATAGTACAAAGGCCGCACCTGTGTTAGTATTTTTAAAATGCTTACCGAGCTGTCGGATTTCGTAGATGATAGGTTAAATCATTATCGAGATATAATTTTGGATGAAAATAACTTGTCATGTTCGTTTTAGTAAACGAATACACAGTCTGACTGACAATTTTTTTTTGATCGAATGAGGATGAAGAGCTTCTTGTATAATTTTTAAAATTTTATTGAAACCTTAGTCTATCATAGCTGTTGGAGAGAACCGATGATACCATTCAAGTTCATCTCATCTGCGTTAAAAAGTAATTGGTCAAATGAAAAAGAAGAGAACACACAAAAAGGTACAAGATTATTTCCGATAACTTAATGATTTGATACAGTCCTTCGTTCTCTCGGGTTTTTTTTTCAACGTCAATCCATTTGCAGAATAAACAATTTTATATATTGAGAGGTGCTATTGACTGAGCATACACACCCATATATACATATATATATATATATATATATGTATATACGAAGGTTTAGCATTATCGTCAACAGAAGCCAATAATAACAACTAAAAGAGAATATTGTATAGACTACCAGACACCTTATCATGAGTATAGTATATTGCGCATTGAAACAGCATGCAATACAAAAAAAAGAAATCAGCCATTGCAGGACTTCGTCAACTCAAGTCGATGTATGCCTTCGAGGACATCAGTTCATTTGACTAGAAGAAGAAAAAAATGATTAGTTCGACTTGTGTTTCTTAATTTCAATGCATCTTACTGTCTTCTATAGCTAAATGAAAGAAGATGATGATTAGAAATAGAAACATTATTATTTTCTTGTCAACATGATCGAATATTCGTGGACAATTATTTATTGTTTTTTTTATTGATTAACTTTTCTTTTTATAAATAAAAAAATAACATTATGATTAAGCTGTATGTTTTCATTTGTATTTTATATTGATATGGTCATCTAATTTTCAAGATGTTCTCTAGTGGCAAGGCAAACACATTTCCTATTCGATGGGATAAACTGACATTGAACTCAGCAACGGATTATCATCATATGACTGTATAGAAGAAATTTGAGCGAAACAAAAAAGAATTATTGTACAGCTCACATCGATTCCTTGAAAATGAAAACTTTCAAAATCGTTATTTTCGATCGAGATGTAAGAGAAAATAAAACATTGATTATACAATCGTAGTCTTTACAGTATAAGTAAATATAAATTAGTACAAACAAAAAAAAATGATGGATTTTGTGACAGCAGATTTGAATTTGTTTTTAAGTTTTATCATAGCAGTGAATAAATTTAAGTGCTGCTAGTTTCTTCTTTTTTTTTTGAAAAAGTGGGTACACATTAAACACTAAAAGTTAACAAAAGGGATGCAATAATTGACAGACTCGCCTTTTGTTAATGCTATTTGTATTTTTACTTCATTTCGATACACTGTGCTAAGTAAATCATATAAGTAATATTGATTAACAATTATTGTAACAATTTTATTCAAGGGTTTAGTGATTTGATGAGAATGGAATTGTAGTGAATAGCTTAAAAAGTATTGATTGTTTGATGAAAATTCTTAATTTCAATGATTTCGACACTTTTTAATCGACACAGATGTCACTATTGAACCAAGCAGAATTGGTCATCTAGTTTAATTCCTTCCCTGTGACCTACCAATAAAAACCTTCTCCTTTCTCTTCACAGAAAGAAGAAACAATTTTTTTTTAAACTCATTAAACAAATCTATCCAAATGATGGCCCAAAAAGAGAATGGAGATGGTAAAATATAAAGCAATTTTTTATTTGAAATTTTCTTGAAAATCATTTTATTTATACATATAGGTGAATTTGAGGAAAATATAGAAGAAAAAACTGTTAATGAAGAATATAAAATTTGGAAAAAGAATGCACCGTTTCTCTATAATCTTGTTATAGCTCATGCACTTGAATGGCCTAGTCTAACAGTGCAATGGTTACCATATATTCGAAAGTATAAATATAAAATTAAGATCTTGTTTTCCTCTGTACGATCTAAACCACATTTTATCTTGATAGGGATGACGACCGAGATTTTAATACACATCGTTTAATACTTGGTACGCATACAGCTGATGAACAAAATCATCTTGTTGTTGCTAGTGTTCAACTGCCAAGAGAAGATCTTGAATTAGATGCTTCGCATTATGAAGGCGATAAAGCTGAATTAGGTGGATTCAGTTTGATCAATGGTCGCATCGAAGTAGAAGTAAAAATAAATCACGAAGGAGAAGTAAACCGTGCTCGTTATATGCCACAAAATCCTCAAATAATTGCAACAAAAACACCATTATCCGATGTATTAATATTTAATATTGATACGCATCCATTAGGCAAAGAGCAAGCAGGTGATTGCAATCCAGAATTACGTTTAAAAGGTCATACAAGAGAAGGCTATGGTTTATCATGGAATTCAAATTCTAATGGATATTTACTTAGTTCAGCTGATGATCATACTGTTTGTTTATGGAATATAAATATGCAACCAAAACAAGGACGAAATTTAGATGCATTATCAATTTACACTGGACATACGATGGTTGTGGAAGTAAGAAATATTCGTTTATTTTTTAGTAAATACAAATTTCATGATAAAATTCAAGGATGTTGCATGGCATTCCAAGCATCCAACAATATTTGGCTCTGTAGGTGACGATCGAAAAATGTTGATGTAAATATTTGAATATTTTTTTAAATGATTTTTATTTTGAAATCTGTTTTTCAAAGTTGGGATACAAGATCGAATAATTATGCACAAGCAAGTCATGTTATTGATGCGCATACGGCTGAAGTTAATTGTGTAATGAATAATTCTTTAACTTAAAATGTAATCATTTTGTTATTTTAGATATCGTTTAATCCATTCTCAGAATATATTCTGTTAACTGGCTCAGCTGATAAGACGCTGGCTTTGTGGGATTTAAGAAATTTAAAAGTTAAAATAGCAACATTTGAATCTCATAAAGATGAAATTTTTCAAGTAAATGAAACTATTGAAAAAACAGCAGCAAGAGTAGCATGTCTATCATTTTTGTTTTAGGTGCAATGGTCTCCACAAAATGAAACTATTTTTGCATCGAGTGGTTCAGATCGACGAATTCATATATGGGATTTAAGGTACATCTTTAAATTTAAGTTATTGATATTTAATTATAGAAAATTTCTTGTGTAGTCGAATGAATCGAAAGCAATCATCAACAGAGACAGAAGATGGCCCACCGGAACTTTTAGTAAACAAACAAAATTTGATTTCATCTCTTCGTTTCATCACCTAGTGTTTATTCTAGTTTATTCATGGTGGACATTCAGCGAAAATTTCTGATTTCTCATGGAATCCAAATGAACCATTTACTATCTGTTCTGTATCTGAAGATAATATGGCTCAAATTTGGCAAATAGTAAATTTAGTTCTTTTTTTGATAAATATAAGAAATTCTCGATGTGGTTTTTGTCTTCTATTAGGCTGAACATGTTTATAATGATGATATTACTATGGACGATGTATGTCGTGATAGAGGAGAAGTGCCACCGAAATCAATCGTAAATGCTTCATCCAATGAATCTTGAAGAGAATAATCTTCTTTTTTTTCTGTTGTTTTTTTTTGTTCAGCTTAGTAAATTTACTTTACTGAAATATTTTTCTCGACGTGTATTTTAAATACGATAAACAATAAAATTATTTACTCGTTTTCTGAATTTACAGTCAAGCAAATCAAATTTGAATTTTTTTCTTTTTTGAATATGTGTTCTTGTAGCGTCATCTATGTAGGAAAACATTTTTTCACATAATAAAAAAGAAATATTATCTGTTTCTTGGAAATGTATCTCCTAGTGAAAAACATCGCATCTAAAAATCAAAGATAAAGTTTAAATAAAATTATTTTCATCTATTAATTACACCATTGGACATATTGAATCATTCAATTGACATATTGCAACTAGTTCTTTCTTTCTCCTTGTTTTTTTTTCTACGGTACAGTAGAATAAATAACTTAATCGATTTTCGTGAAAATATATAATGGTAATTAAAATTAGAGATTAATAGCATCAATAATTGTTTCTATCGTCTGTTTAGTTTCGCAATCAATACGATCATGATGTTAGCATTTGGAGTCCTCAAGTAAGAATATTTATTATAACATTGTACGTAATTAATCTACGTACATACATGTAGGGACGACTCTATCAAATTGAATATGCTATGGAAGCAGTTAAACAAGGTGCAGCTACAGTTGCAGTTAAATCTAACACACATGTTGTTCTTTGTGCTCTAAAAGTAATTTGTTTCTAATCATTAGATGACAATTTTGTTGATGTTTTACTATTTTAGCGAGCACCATCGGAATTATCAGCGCATCAAAAGAAAATTATGTTTATTGATGATCACATTGGGGTTTCTATTGCTGGGTTAGCATCAGATGCTCGTATCCTTTCGTAAGAAAAATTAAACATTTAAAAAAAACTGGAGACATCTTTTAACTTATCTCTAGGCGATTTATGCGTACGGAATGCATTAATCATCAGTATGGTTATGATAAACCAATGCCAGTAACACGATTAATGGATCATGTTAGCAACAGTAAGAAGAAGAAAAAAGCAATTTTTCTATGAATTTATCTATGGTTTTAATGAATTTTAGAATGTCAAGTTCCAACTCAACGTTATGGACGTCGACCATTTGGCGTTGGCTTTCTTATGGCTGGTTATGATGTATGTTAATATATTTTCTTTTTAAATGAAAACAAACTTTTTTTCTTCTATTTCGTAGGAGCTCGGTTCACATTTGTATCAATTATGTCCATCGGCTAATTATTATTCATGCAAATGCATGGCTATTGGTGCCCGTTCTCAATCAGCTCGAACATATCTTGAAAAAAATTTAGATAAATTTCCTACTTCAAATCAAGATGAACTGATTAAACATTGTATGCGAGCATTACGCGATACATTACCCAATGAAGTTGAATTAACAGTTAAAGTAAATCATCTATTTAATGTTTTCCTTTTTTTCCAAAACAAACAAAAAAAACATTCGTTTTAGAACTGTGCTGTATCTATTGTTGGGAAAGACACTCCATTTTCTATATTAGATGATGCTCGTATTGGAACTTATTTAACAGCAATTGAAGGTGATGAACGTGCCCCACCAGCTCAGGATGATACATTAGTAAGAATATAGTTTATTGAAATTTTTTTTATGATGAATATTTTTTAGGTTACGGGTGACGACAATCTTCCTCCACCACCACCTGATGGAAATGCAGAACCACGAGTCATTGTTGCAACAGAACGCATGGAATCATAGACTAATTTAGAATATTCTTGGAATTTTATCATTAAACTTGAATTCGTTGTCTGTTAAACTCGAACAAGATTTTTTTTTCTTTCTTTTTAGATTAGATTTCTATATTTGTTTTTGTACAAAATATGTCGTCATTGGATGTAAGCGAGAATTTTGTTCTTGAGAAAAAGCAAATTTTGAAATTTTTTTTTCTTAGACATTAGCATCACAAACTCCGCAAGAATTACGTGTTAAACTTATGCAACATTTCGGTATTGCAAAGGAGTATGAAAAAAATCCTGGAATGATTTCTATTACCTATTATTGTTTAATGTACATTGCAAACGAAGGACTTAAACTTCAAAAGGATAAACAATTTGTTTCAAACGTTCTTGATTATCTTGAAGCAGTATGTATCGAGATATTAACCGAATCGAAGATAATTGAGATCGTCAGAGAGGACAATGAAATTTCTACGTCAAGTTTATGCCAGGTCTCTATGGAACATACATACTAGAAGTGTATGGTTGTGAGCGTTGCTAAAAAGTGAGACAAAGAGAAAATGAGATTTTGTCGAGTTTTAGCTATTGCTCAGTTTTGATTATTTATAGTTTTAATTTAGACAAAACGAGCTAATCCGAACGATGAAATTATTAAATCTATGGCTACTGGTCAAGCAACTATTGAAGAACTCATAAGTGTTCTCGTTACTGAAACAAATGAAGCTGAATATGAAGAATCTAAAACTCCTGAACAATTACGTTTACTTATGAGAAAACATTATACGGTCGGTGGATTAGCAGATATTCTCTCTGTATTTGGATCTGTCAAAGATGATGTAAACATCAATTAGATAACCACTATTATTTAAATTTGATCGCTTTTTTAGTTTCTTACATTAGGTAAAATTGCTAAGAGTCGAGCAGTAGCAATTTTTCGTGAATTAAAATCTGGTGCTAGTAATAGTACTGCAGCAAAGAAGCCTCGTATGTCGAACAGAAAAGTCTTTGATATCTATCTATTATTTATGTAACTATTTAGCCGATAGTAATACCGATACTGGCGCGCATGGAATCTCATCAGAAATGTCATCATCGAGTTCGGCGAAAAATTTTCATAATCAAACTGGGAGAAATCAAGGTAAACGAATGAAATTCTTCCACAGAAAAGGAAAACCTGTAATATTTTATTTTAGACATTCCGTTTGATGTCATAGCGCAGGCACAAAAATTATTTCGTTATGCTAACTCAGCGTTAGAACATGAAGATATATCAACAGCAATGCAGAGTGGTGAAGAAGCCTTAGAATTACTTCGACCATATAGACATTAGCAAAAACAAAATGTGAATGATTCGTTTTTTATGGTGTGTTCATTTAAAATTTTCTTGTTTACAAGCATTAATATTTTTATTCGTCTCTCTAATGATGTGGGCAGATTTATTGTATTTCGATTGTATTTTTCTCTTCTGTTTTTGTTTGCGTTCTATTTTCCGGTGAAAATAAATTTATCCTTACTCCTTGAGCTACGCGTCACCAAAATGATTCATGTTTATTTATTGGTTGTCTCAATAGCTGACTCATCGTGTTACATCATATTTATAGATAAGTTTCTACACATTTTCTTTTGCCTCCTATTCAAAGAAAACAATCATGGAAAACAGTGAAAGATTACTTGAAGAAAGTGTTCAACCCGAAGAAATTCAACGTTATCGAATTGTATTTGAAAAAGCTCGAGAAGCAAAACAATTGACCGATCAAAATAAGTTTTCTTTTGCGTATTGTCTTGTTCGAAGTACAGCGAAAGCTGACGTACGTTATGGTTTACAATTATTAAAAGAACTTTATGATTCAACAAGAAACGATGATGCTAAACGAGATTATTTATTTTATTTAGCAGTTGGTACGATATTGATTTACGAATGCATGTAATTACGATAATATTTATTCTGCTTAGGTAATGCTCGATTAAATGAATACGAAGCCGCAATTAAATTTCTCGATGCTATTCTTCATGTTCAACCTGGTAATCATCAAGCAAAAAATCTTAAAGACGAAATCACACAACGAATGAATCGTGAAGGCTGTATGTTTATTTTTGTATGTGATCAAAAACAAGAAATATTTATTTTGGTTTTTTAGATGTCGGCATGGGTATTGCTGTAGGCGCAGGAGCACTTCTTTTGGGAGGTAAGGAAATCATGTTTTTAAAAATATATCTAATGAACAGCAATCAATACCGTCGGAACATGGAGATTCTATTCAGTTCTATGAAAGATTTGATGTGAAATTGAGTTGCTCATTGGTGAGGCATAGTTATTCTTAATTAGAATTGAGCTAAGTAGGACGTTCGGGTACTTTGATCGTACGTTTCCATTGTTGATGAGTGTTTTTCTATAATTAAAAAAAAATTGTTGACGTAAAACTACTCAAAACAAAAATAATCAGCGAAAAAGTGTTATTCTGTCAGAATCTCGTGTCTTTTCCCCGATACTTTCGAGAAGACTACTTTATTAATTAATCATTTATTTAGGTTTGACTGCTGCTGCTATGGTTCTTCTCAAGAAATAAATCGATACCTTGATAAATATATATTAATCTAGTGAAAAACGAACTATTTATCAGCTGCAATACAAGTGTTTATTTTCTAAATCGCCAATAATGTGTGACTGTCTATGATGAATATTTATTATGTGTCTTTTTCTAATAATTTTCCGTTGTTCAAAAAAAAAACATGCATCTTAGAAGGACGTCTAACTTCAAATGTTCTACATTCGATCATGTGCGCTTGAAAGGCGGCGACTCTGAAAATTCAACATAATTAGCAAAAATTTAGCCAGAAAAAAAGCCGATATATAGAGGAACATATATTGCATATGAATATTGGTCTATGGAAATATAATTGAAGTAGAAAAAGTGATTTGTGGTGAAAGTCTGATGCAATTACAAGTTATTAATGCATACAATGGAAGTGCTTGTAGATTTAAGATTGAATCGATTAAGAAAAGAACATTGAATTATTGCCACTCATCATTGAGACATTCTCGCTTATACAATTGACGCAAGCCCTGGTAATATTTAAGTGAGAGAATGTTTAGTGATTGTAAGATGAAAATTTCATAAAAACTTGTTATTAACAGTATGTAAACAGACGCATTCTATAGACATCGATTCAATGATTAAAATCAGGAAAAAAATTCCATCACAAACTACTTTGAGGAAAGTGTAATTGGAAAGAGGACGTGACTAAGTTCGTCACTTCACTCTCTGCCTCTCTCTATCAAAGAAAACATCTTGTGAATGTTAAAGTTGATACGTACAAAAAAGTTCGGAAAAATTGCCCTTTGATTAGAAGAAATAAGCGCATTTTGTTATGATGCTTAACACTCATTTTACAGTAGACAATATGTTATTCAAATGCGTCTTTTTTCTAAATGAGCACGTTTAGTCTGAAATAAATTTTCTTTTCTTTTCATTTTTAGAGCTGTTTCAAAGTTGACTAAAAATAGATTATTGGCTTAGGGTTGTGCCATAAATAAAACTAAGCACGATGCTAATAATTGAAATATTTTTATTCTTAACATCATAAGCATAGAAAAACTTTTCCTTGACTGTTTCATCATGAATTCTAAATACTTCACTTAATATTTAAAACAAAAGATCCGTCCTGAAGTTATCAATTTATTCAAGAGTATCACAGCAGGCAAGTACATTTTTCTTTAAAATTTATATTCTATGGAAAATTCTATAAGATTATCTTTGAAATTGAAGATCTCCTTTAATCAAGTCTCTCATTAATATTAACTTTTCTTTGTCGACAATCGTGTCGATAGCTCAAAATGAGATTCAGTGGAGAATACAAGAAAAATATTTATTTATTAATAGAGAACCAATTATGCTTTTCAATCTCGTAATGAAATGTTATGATAGATGAACAAGTTGATGTATTTCAAAAACAGCTAGCAATGAGCTCTTTTTATTGCGAGACGTCAAAATAAAGTGAACATATGGTGTTTTTCTTAATTGTAGAAGAAAATGACAGAACCGACGGAATAACTGCGTATAAGAATACATTTAAAAAATATCTAAAATAAACCGTGACTTATGAAAAAGAGTTGGTCTGTTGTTTTTTTAGGAATATCGTTTGTTCACTATTCTTTGTATTTTTCTATAGAGATGATCAACAATAGCTATTAGAAAAATAATCGCCTTCTATTCTTATCGAAAACGAGCAGTATTTTCTTCGTAATCAATCTTTTAGATAAGATCGAAAAACTAGCTACATTCCACTCAATCAACGTACTAATGTTTAGAATATATCTATGATAGTTTGACTGTCGAAAAAAAAATATTCAACGGCAAGTGTAATGAGTCGAATTCGACGACGCATGATTAATCTAAATCTATCGATGGATATCGGTCAGTGCCTTTGACAGAATTTTTTTCTTTGTTTGCTCTACTTTATATGGTTTGATTGAGTTGTGTTCAGAGTTAATAGGATTAAAATAAATTCCAATCGATATAAATAGACTTATTTTGTTCTTAGGATGAATCAGTGAGTACTCTTGTAAACTTGTCGAATTTCTGTTTTTATAGGAAGAAATCGTGTCAAGACTCTCACATAATTGCAGTCATCGGATCATGTCCTAGCATTATTCTTTCGTCATATAATTATACTGTGTTTTACTACAGAGGAAATCGAAATTTCCACACGCTTAAGGATAATATGAATGGACAGGGACAAAAATATGCTCGTGTTTAAGATCATCGTCGAATGAAAAAACAAATAAATCGCACATTCAAGATAAACGACAACAATTGTATTGAATATCTAAATTACTTGCGCCTCATGTTACTACTTAACTGTAAAAACAGGAAATAAATTTTCTCAACGATACTGTAGAGGATAAACTATAGATTAAAGCTAGGCGATTAGAATGACATAAGATACTTGCTTTTGTATCATGTCAAAGAAAATTCCAGCTTACATTCTTAGAATCGAATTCATTGATTTACATCGGGTAGGTTTCTTTCTAATCCTATTGACTCCCACTCTGGTTAAACAGTTACGCTATTTCTAGTTCCTTTTTCTTATGCTGCATTAAACCGAGTTGTTTTCAAAGGTTAAAAAAACTATGCAATAAAAATTTGATGGTTCTCGTAATGTGCATAGGCTAAACATCCAGGTTCTTTGGTAGATTTTTGAAAAATAAACGTTCGGATTGAATTTCTTTCATTCTTTTACTAGCAAAGAATAGACTTAATTTAATTTTCAATAGAAAACTATTCTTGCGAACATCCTTTATAAATTACATTTGCATTTTTTCATCATGTAATAGAAAAAAAAGAACATAGCCAATCGAGCAATGTCACTTATTCACAGAAGAAATTAGTCAGCTGATGTAGAATACTTTCATCTATGGTCATTCATATTTTGTTTTAAGGAAATTACAAACAAACAGTTTGTTTTTCCATTAGAATGTTATAAACACCCCTTGTTTGTTTCTATTCCTTCGTACGTGTGAAAGAAAAATCCTTTTTTCGTCGGGCTTAATACAACTACGTTTTATCAACGATAGACAATTGATGTGTATCAGTTCGTGTGAGTTTTCTTTGAAGTCATTCAAACGCATCGAATCTCTATTTCCTGTTATCCGTCTCCGTATATAAGGAGATTCGAAAAATTACATTTACCTATATGTTTTCTTTCTCTACTTCATACAACTAGGAGGGGCACCTCGGCAATGCCATTTAATTATTCGTCAATTATTGACGAAGGACTTTCTCGTGATGACCCTTTATTTTGGAGTCGTCCAACAACGGTGAATTGTACAACGGTTCGTATTATTGGTATATTTCTATGCGTCGCTGCTTTTGTTGGCATTGTCTTCAACGGAACTTTATTGTATAGTTTTTTACGATACAAGATGCTTCGTTCACCACCGAATATATTTGTTATGTTTATTGCGGTCATGGGTCTTTTAGCTTCATGTACAATTCTTCCATTGACCGGTACATCGTCAGTCTATTGTCAATGGTTATATCAGCGTTCAGGCTGTCAATTAAGTGCTATTATTGCATTTTTATATGGATGTTCAAGTTCTTATTTACTATGTGGAGCAAGCCTTAGCCGATGCTATATTATTGTTCGACCATTTCAAGCCAAAAATGTTACTGTAAGGAATTCATAGTTGTTGCAAATAGACAAAAAACTATAAAAGCTAAAATGATTTTAGGCAAAGAGTTGTGTTGTTATTTCCTGTTTTGCAATATTGATTGTGTGTATTTGGACTATGTTCGCCGTAATAGGATGGAATGAATATACAATGGAGGTTGGTATTACTATTTAGAATAGATTTATTCTATCTTTATTATCTATACGTGCGTTTTTTCTCTCCATAGGGAGCTCGCACCTCATGTTGTATGAATTGGTATGATCGGCGTGCGTCGTGTGTCTCGTTTCTTTTCTTTCTGTTCTTTGTAGTCTATTTCATTCCACTTGTTATTATTATTACTGCGAATTCTATTACTTTGATGGGACTGAAAAGTATGCGGAACAAAATCGAAAGGGGTATTCAAACAATATTTAACCGAAAACGAATCGAAATGGAACGGCGTATTATCAAGAGTAATTATTATTCATTGAATGGAGTTTTTCTTTAATTATTTTTCCTCACACTTAGGTATTGTAATAACGACTAGTGGCTTTATTTTCACATGGACTCCGTATGCAGTAACACTTTTTGTTTCGGCCTTTCACGGTAATGATTATGCCATACCACCATTGGCTTCTTTTCTGTGTGCCTGCTTTGCTAATACATCAATAGTATGGATTCCGATGTTTTATGCTCTCACATCGACTCAATTTGAATTACATGTCGTCAATAGAAATACTCTAGATCAAACGACGGGAACAAAACGAGTCGATGCTACATTAGCGCACGTACCTATATTAGATCAGAAAAACGATGATATGCCAATGAAACCTGTTGTTGGCAACACTCGTGACGCATGATTTGCTATGATTACCAGCAATTAATGTATGATCTTTATTGCCCAACAGTATTTTCTTGTGTGTATTTGCTTTCTTTTAAATGGCTGACTGTTCATGTACCTTTACTTTTGTCGTAATTTATAATAAAAAAAAACAGTAAATAAAATAGATGTCTATCCCTGGAAGTTATCGGGCATCATCTTATATGGATTATTACAAGTACTGTTAACCGTTGCGTACGATGCCTTTTCATTGTATAGAAAAATGTGATTGCTCTGTTGAAAGTAATAGCTACACAATTATAATTATTAGCTAAGCCGTGAAGATCAACGAAAAAAATAATACAAGATAGTAATTTGCGTTGCCATTTATTTTATGTTTGTCTGCTTCTAACAATGGAGGTGTTTGTATTGTAAGCTGAAAAGACTAGCTTACAGATACAGCGTCTATAGAAAATCGTCAGTATTTTGAGAGATTCCTATCTCGAAGAGGGTTTGTTCAAAACTTCTGATTTTTTCTGTAAGGTAGTCTCATTGAGACCTTCATGCATACAAAATTTCAGCTTCAAATTCGAACCTTGTTAATTTGGCGGTGAGAGCTTTCTTTTGATGTAAAAATATCTAATCTTTGCAGCTTACAATACAAACACCTCCATTGTAAGTGCACGATAGAAAAATTGATGTGTTCTATTATGAACTTTAGACGGAGTGTCTCGATGTTGGTACTTTCTGAAACTTAGAAAGTTTGAGACATTTCTTGGTTTTTCTGAGATATTCCCTACTGATTAAGCCTATCAGCAGGTATGCAGCAATTAAAGTGTATCTATAAACGCACATATTCAAAAGTTGACTATGCAGTCGAAATCCATTCGTTCAAAATTTTCTTCTGAGAAGCAAGCGTTTGATAGGATTATGCAAGCATTATGAATATACATGCCACAAAAGCTAATTGGAACGATAGAAAAATATGAAAATCACCTAAAGTTTAATTTTTTTGCGGAATTAAAATGTCAAATGTCATGCCGATGTTTTTCTTTAATCAAAAAGACACTTATTCACCATTTGTTTACTTCATCATCAAAAAATTTAATAAAGTAGTGACTTTATTAATCTCTTGACCTACACTCGTATATTAACGGCAACTATACGGTTTCTTCTGATCCAAAACTCTTATCATATCCTTCAGTAATCTTTTTAATGTTTGATACCATAGTAATGACAAATAAAAGTGTCGAATGTCATTCGTACTGCCCACAAGTTCTAGATTTCAAATGATTTTCGATACTAATTCCCTTGCAGAAATGTATTTGAATTCACGTACATGGTATCAATAAACTATAATCAGAATCAAATTTTTTTCTATTTATTTAAAATTCAATATTAAATACTTTTTCATCGATATTTTTATAGTCTAAACAAACATCATTTCTGTAATATTCAATAGACAACGCGGGAATTAAACAATTTCAGAAATTAACCGAATTTTGGATATACAAAATAATATTTTGAAATATGTTAATAATTAAAATTAATAGTACAGTATACTGCTGAATTTCCTTAATTTTTTCATAAACAATAAATGGAGAAATTCTAATAGAAAAGCTTACTAGTCATTTTTCTATCAGCAATCAGAAATCGGGCCACCAACACTTGACGACAACCAATAAGCTGCAAACAGCAAAGTTTCTCGCTTGCAAACAAAGTATACAGAATAACAGAAAAAGAAAAGAACAAGATAAAGCAGCTCGAATGAAACTTTCTTATCATTACAAATATATATAATATACGGTTACACAATAGCGGAGAGATGTATTGTTGTTACCATTGAGCATAGTCGCAAGCTCTCGATTGTTGTTCGTCGATTTCTTTCGCATACATAGATTAAACATTTACTAGATCTTCGAAATATGGTTGCACATGTTCGCACATCCTTATCGAGTATTTTTCTCGCTCTTGCTCTATATTTTTTGCAAGGCATGAGTCTTGGAGTTGCGAGTAGTATCCCGTTATTTTTAATTGCACACGGTGCTACATGGAAAGATATAGGTACATTAAATTTCGCTAGTTATCCATTCTCGTTGAAACTTCTTTGGGCGCCAATAATCGATGTTCTCTATGTTAAACGTTTTGGTAGAAGAAAATCGTGGCTCGTTCCTGTTCAATTCAGCGCGGCTGCGATTTTATTTTTATTTTCGTTCTATGTGGAATCATTTGTAGAAAATGTTCGCATCGTGTTGCTCACTATCATTTTATTTGCTATCGTTTTTCTCACGGCAACTCAGGACGTTTGCGCCGATGGTTTAGCAATCTCCTTATTTACTCTGACGAATCCTCAATGGGCGTCCACATCACAAACTGTAGGACAAACAATGGGTAATTTTATTGGTTCCTCATTTCTGTTGACATTTGAATCGGCAAATTTCACCAACCGATTCATTCGTGAACCACTTTCAATAGCTCCCAAAGAAACAGGCTTATTTTCACTCGAACAATTTATTCGTTTCGTAGCTCTGGCTTTTCTAATTGTTACCACATGTCTGATATTCTTTTTTCGAGAAAAAGAAGATCTACCAACTAGCGACGACGAAGAAACAGAGAGTCTATCTTTAATTGACACATATCTTTCAATTTTCAAACTCTTCAAAAAGAAGTGTATTCAACAGTTGACTCTTGTTTCACTTCTTGCTCCTATGGGGCTGGTTGCTATTAGTTCTATGACCTGGTTGGCACTAATAAGGTGAGTATAAAAAATTTTAAATTTACTATAATCTGAATCTTAGATTATAGGATATGAAAGATGTTTCCAATTGAAAAAGTCAATAGGCCATCAGAAATTTAGATAGAAACTTTTATATGTGAGATTTTGCTCTTGACGTTCCTTGATAGAAAATAAAGAGCAATGCTTTAAAACAAATAGATTTGATCATTCTTACAGTGGTCAGTGTTTCTTCTAGGAAATTGTTTTACTAATACTTTTCTAATCAAATCAATATACATGTACAAAGTGAAGTAAGAGCAGCTAAATTAAATTAAGTTTTTTCTTTTCTTTTCAGCCAAGGTGTCCCACGGGAAAATTTAGCACTTATCAGCATACCAGTGACCATTGTGACAATAGTAGCCCCACTAACTATTCGTCATACAGAATTACCTCTGCGATGGTTTGCTGGCTCCTATATCGCGTATATTATTACTGGCATGCCCATTGCTGTTTACGTCTATTATACTCCTAGCATGATCTCCGCGGGGTACTACTATCCAATACTTATTTTACTTCTTTCGTGTAACAAATTCTTTCAGGCATTAAGATTCGCCGCTCAAATCGGATTCTTTGCTTCGATCAGTGAGCCACGTATCGGCGGCACTTATATGACGTTACTCGTTACTTTACAAAATTTAGGCTTTGCGATTCATTCATCGATTATTCTCTATGTATCACATTGGTTACCAAAGAATTATGACTTTGTTATTGCGACAGGCATATGCACCATTATTGGCATTATCTGGCTTGGATTTTCGATTCGAACCTTAAACCAATTACAAGAAATACCCACCCATGAATGGTACTTATTACCAATAAAACACTCAGATGATGTAATGACGTCGAACAATCATCGAACATCATTGATTGAGGATGAATCAACGAGTAGGATTATTTGAATTTTGGAAAACCGTTTAAACTTTGAATAGTGAGTGTCTACAACGAAGACAATCAACATATTATTTCCTTAAATTTCCATGGCAATACAGAGAAGTAGCTTTGTTACCAAACGGAATTGAACAAGACAAACTAGAGTAACTGTTAATGCGCAATCAAAACTAGGATCAACAGATAACATGAAACTGAATATTTTTCTACATAGTTACTGTTGAACATGTTTAACTCAACTTCGTTAGTCAGAATATGGTCATTTGTGTGGATAAAAGATTGAAATAGAAGACTCTAGAAGTCTATCTAGATTCTTTATATTTTAGAAAAATAAAGTTCACCTAGGAATTTCGCCTTGAATATCGTACTGCGAGACTGAAGTTGCTACAAGATAATTGCGGCTTAAGAATACTACTATTCTTCTATCAAAGTGCGATAAGGACTTTGCTAGATGTGAATAATGATATCTACCTGCGTATGTTAACACTACAAAATTCTTAAACTCTTTGATTTTGCGCCAGAATAAATCAGCCATCGAATGGAGAACGGTGATAGTCTTGCGAAATATTCAAAATAGAGTCCTGCAGGTTAAGACTTTCTTGTATCCTAACCCTGCCCTACGACGTTCTTACCCTAGCCCTACCCTGCCCTATAGATTTCGTAACCTTGTCCTGTCCTGCCCTAGGGGCTTTGTACCCTTACCCTACCCTATCACAGAGATTTTTCATTTGACACCCTATCATATCCATAGAGTTTCAGGTCCAGGTAAAAGTCAGCATGAAGTTTTGCTTCACTTTGTTTCAATATATTTTATTGATTTTCAAAGAGAATCAAATACAAAATTAACTAGATGGTACTCGAGCTTCACTCGACTACGAAATGCGGCGCGAAGCACAGGTTCCTGTATTGAGAACAAACGCTTGCGCAAATAAAGGGCGTGGGTGTTATTCTGTCCAAACGCTCATCCACATGCACACTATACATGCAAATCCACGCCCACACCCACACCCTCAATCATAAATAGCAATATGTATGGAATGAAATTGAGAGATAGAATTCATCTTATTACGTCTATTGATTATTTTCAGAGATCATGTACAATACAGACATTAACAACATTTATTTATCAAATAATCTCATGAAAAAAAAACACATCAGATAACATCATTGAGATTACTGAAAAAACAAATTAAACAAATTCAAAAAGAAAAACATAAGTGTCAATTAGCAATTGAACATTAAATTGACATCTTGCTTTTTATTTTCACCACGAAGATGCTAATTGACACTTTAATTATTTTTTTTTGCTGGCTTTGACACTTCTCTAAAATTAAAGAAAAAAAAATATTAATTTATGTATTATATATAATACTTTGCAAGTATTGATTGTGCATCAAAATGTTCGCCGAAATGCTTTTTATAGGCTTCTATTTGAATAGCTAAATATCAAGGAAAAAGAACGAATATTTCTAGTTGTTTAACTATCGAAATAATACTTACAATGTATTTTACATTTTTCCAATTTGGCATTAATTTTATCATCACATAGGCCAGCAATTGATTCACTACAAAAATTAACAACAATTTAAAGAAAAATGCAATAGAATTTTTTTTACATATGTACCCAGGTCGATCAAAACGGAACTCCGTTTCGGACCGTATTAATGGGCGCAGTATTACGGACCGTAATGCTGTTAGTTACGGGTCAAATACGGCCGTAAACGGAGACTGGTTTGGAGCACCGTAAAACGGGGAGCCATATACTGTGAAATCTTGACCGTATACCACGCAAATGTAAGCATCGTACGGTCCGTAATACTGCGCCCATTATACGGTCCGTATTGTTCGACCTGGGTATTGTAAAAATATCTGGATTTGCATAAATATCATATTCGACCAATGTTAATGTATTCATATCTGTTACGACCTCTAAAACAAAAATAAATCATAATTTATTAAAAATTCTACATTCAGAACAGTAAATTTTAAAAGAACAAACTTATATCAAAAACTTATTTTAAATAAGTTTATTTATTCCGTGCTATATACTCTGAAAATAATTGTTTAGCTGCTGAACCATTGAAAGTTCGGTAGGAGCCTAAAATGGTCTTGATCTGGACATACACGTGTGTGTCCAGATCAAGACCATTTTAGGCTCCGGGGCTCCTACCGAACTTAATAAGGTTGGGTAGTTTAACAAATTTTTTAGAATATATGCTGTCGTTAAAAAAGATTTTTTTTACTATGATAGTTTTTTTCTTTGAAATTAATATTGATGCGTTTGATACAACACATTATTAACATCCGTTTCAATTTTTCATCATGAACATAATCATTTGTGGACAACAATTCTCGAATCATTTCGTCAAATGTCTACAAAAAAATATTATTTAAACATTCAATTTAAAATGAAAAGTCAAATACTTTTAATGCATCCGCAGTGTCATTGTTGTGCGAATGAAATGAAACTAAACCAGCTTTGAAAATCAAGTCATTTAATGACATTTTCACAAATTATCAATGTAATATAATGTAGATTAATAATCAATGACAGAAACAAAATGCTTCAATTGAATCTAATGGATATAATCAATTGAAATCAATGATCGATGAATTGTGCCAAAACCAAAATTATCAAAACAAGAACAATCCCATGTCGCCTCTTTTTTATCAACTGTGCCGCAGTTACGCGTAGAGCCAATTCTGCGTCGCAGTTACGCGTAACTATGACGCATTGATCGTAGCGAAGATTTCTACAAGAAACTACGCTTAGTATGACTCAGATCAACGTAACTGCGTCCTAGTGATCGCATCCTACGATCTGTTGTAGGTATAAATGGCCAATTACAAATTATTCCTCCTTATTTGTAATTGGCTACNTAATTGCGGAAAACTTGGGCGCAGTTATGCGTAACTGTGATTTTCCCCCCGTAACTACGCGTAACTGCGATTTTTTCATCGTAGTTGCGCGTAACTACGTCGCAATTTTCCGCAATTACGGTTCACAGTGCGATCGCAGTTTCATCGTAATGAAACACATGGGAAGATATTGAATCAAGTCGATGATAAACCAAATAGATTTTGATAAACAATTCAACCAGTATATATATATATATATATAAGTTCAATCGAAAAAGACAAAGGTTGAATTCAACAAAGGATAGACGTCGAACTAAACAAAAAACAATGAATGCCATCATCATAATGTATGAAAATATCCTATAGAATATCATCATGATCGAGATAAGCTATTCAAATTGAATGAATTTATTCGTTGTTGACACTGCCAATAGGAATCAAAACATTTCAGATAGATAGAACATGTCGGCAATGAACAAAAAATTCAATTTGAATATAACTTATCTCGATGCGAAAAAAAAATTGAACAAACGAAACGAATATCTCAGACTTTATCAAGATTGAACTAATCAATTTAATGAGAACAATGAAAATACAACTATTCGTATAAAGGATAAAGAATATTATTTTACTAAATGCATTAAATTATTTTTTCTTGAAATTTTAGCATTTTGCAAATATCTCAGCCGAGGTAACTCGTATCATAATAGAATATTGCATCATTATACTACCTGTTCAGTTTGACTATAGAAGACATCATTGAAAGAAGTCAATTGAAATTTGTTTGTACAGCTTTTGTAGAGCTTTTCAAGCACATCTCTTCCAAAAAAGAATCAATATTATGATACGATTTATCTCAGCTGAGATATTTGAAAATGCTCAATGCCGCATCATTATGACTCATCCGATACTTCAATTTGAAAAGGCTTTAGTTAATCATGTATCCTTAATCGTTAGTAATTTATTAATTGATTGGCATGTTGGACATTCACTGTGTCAAGAGTTATGACTTTTTAAAAACATTTTGTGTTTTATTTCGACGAATTTCTCTTCGAATATATCGAACCATTGAGCATAAAATCTTAAAAAAAGATCTTTATCTCTATTTGATGTGATTGTTAATTTAATATGAAATCATTAAATATCATACATTCATTCGATTTCATAAATATTTAATATGTTATATCTGCAAATTATACTCATCTCGTGAAATATGAAAGATTTGCTTTACATTTCGAATGAAGTTTGATATACTCACTTTATTTCAAATTAACCTTTATTGAAATCTTCTTTCAAAAAGAAGACATATTAACTTTTATTATAGCATGAGTGTGGATGTAACCATCGTAATTATTAGAACGCACAAACTTAGTTGGGATTTTTTTTTAAAATAAACCTTTTCGTTGTTAAACAAAAATCATTATTTTCGAAACCAGTGGCAGAACACCGTAAAATAGACTTGTTTCTCACGATTTTTATCCGAAAAGGTTCACTTCTAAGATCAATGTACATGAAATTCAGAATCAGCATAAAAAGTTAAGCCACATGACCTGTTTACCATTCTGAAATACGTATTTTCTATCAAAGCTCCACCTTCACTCATAACCATTCACATTTTTAGATTAAATTTCTCTTGTCATTCTACTGTTCATGTGTATTTTTCTTCAAAATGAACCCTCACGATGAAAGTAGCGAAAACACGGATCACTTAACAACGTTTGCCTTTACTTTCCAAAATATTACTTCTCCCACCAATAGAAGATTATTCCTAAAAAGATCTTATTTCCAATTTTTGTTCTACGAACTAGGATGCTAAGAGCGGTATAACAAATTTTTTATCCTTCAACCTAAAAGGCATAGAAAAGCCATTCACCTATATCTAAAGATTTTCCAACTTTTCAAAGATGTCAGAAATTCTATGTTTTATCAAAATTGCCTCCGGATTTCGTTTAGAAGAAAACTTGTAAACTATTCTTTTCAATGCAAACCAATGCGCTCTTTTCACTCATGTTAAAATTAGATGGTATTCGAGTTTCACTCGACTACGAGATGCGGTGCGAAGCACACGAGCCGAATATTCAAAAGCAGCGAGAATCAGGTTTAAAAAATAAATAATCCACTTTAAGATTCATTAAAATCGTTTATTTTTTTTAATTTCCATATACGAATTTTGAATAAAAATTTAGCATTCACTATTCTTAAACCGATCATTTTGAAATTCATGACTAGGAGGGTGGGTGTGGGTGTACGTGTGGGTTTAGATGAAAACATTCCTACCCACACACCCACACCCACACCCACGCCTCTGACATCAATTGAATCCAGTATATCATTATCATAGACGCATGGCAGTTATCCGTACAACTCAAACCGAAAGCAGACAATTGGTAAAACTGCGGAGATCGAGAACATAACGTTATATGGAATGTTTGGCAGGATGATGCAAGCGTTATGATTAAACATGCACTACCGCTATTTCGTAGTCGTCATCGTTTGTTCACTACATCAGGCTTTTCAAATGATTTTCGATACTAATTCCCTTGTAGAAATGTATTTGAATTGTAAAATTAAAAGTGTATTTCTCATCCATGATTAAACATCCCTCAATAAGATCGCACTATCCACTAATAGTATTTTACATTAAAAAAAAAGAACAGAAGAAAAACATTCATTTATTCACTAAACCGTAAGAACTATTTATACATGGGAAGTATGATCGCGATGAAGAAAATGAAAACCACTATCTTTGTGTTCGTTAAAATCAAATGAATCTGCAGTTTTCGGTAAATCCACTACACTTGTGATTGTTGGTGTTCGTTCATTACGTTCATCAAGTCGAGAATTAAAAGGAGAAATGGCTTGCTGTTGTTCTTGTTCTTGTTGTTGTTGTTGTTGTTGTTGTTGTAATGGCCAATAGTCGATATTTTGTTCCTTTTCGTCAAAATCAATACCTGTTATTGATATTCTTAAATTTCGACGCATAACGTCTCTTATATTTTGATTTAATCGTGTAGAATCGATTTTCGCCTTAATTAAAAATTCTAAAAATGCAATAACCATTGCCATTCCAAGACCAACAATTAAAACATAAAACATCCCAGCTACATTCGCTAAATTCAGTGGTGTACTTTGTTTAGAATCTTTTTTTCCCACGTTTGTACATTCACTTCGTTCGTAATACCATTTCCGTTTTAAACTTTCAAGAAATCCATTTTCGGTTAATTCTAAAACAGCTATATTAATTGCTTCACGTAAATCTGAACCAAGTGGTGTAGCTATTCCATAGCCTTTTGCATCAATATTTTCCCCGATACGCATTGTATCGCATGGATGACGTTCATTGACATATTCGTTTAATGTTGATTCAAGTAGTAGAGCAAATTTACCTTTTGAATTTCGAACTTTTTGAATTCCGTCGCGGTTCGATGTCACGAAAACATCATCTTTATGTTGTTGCATAAAATTCCACATACGTTTAAATGTTGTTAAGGTTGATTTATTAAAAAAAGCCATGGTCGCACCACCTCGTACTGTTCCATAACGAATTTCTGTTTGTTTTGCGAGATCTTCAACGGTTTCAATAGGTGTTACTAATTTTTCAACGGTTAAAAACGCAGCTAAATTAGCGGTATACGATGAAACAAGTATCAGACTAAAAAACCACCAAGCACTGGTAACCACTCGGCCTGGAATAAAAGAAAATTATCTTTAGTAATAAGCGAACCGAAAATTTTCTACAAACCTGAAAATGATCTTGGCAAAAGATCAACACCTTGATGCATAAAAGCTGCAAACGAGAAAAATAATGCATTTTGCATGGAAAATTTATTTCGTGGTACAACATCGGATTCATTTTCAAAATACCATTCATATGACGATGATCGACTAACGAAAAATAAAATAGCGCTAACAAGTAAATACGATATAATAACGCAAATCCAAATTTCTTTTGATAATGGTGCCATAAATGAGAAAACGCCCGGTTTTTGTTTTTCAGGTTTACCAATCATGATGGATATACCTAAATCGATAAACGGCTTCGAAAAATCGACCACTTTTTCTCGTGCACCATTTATTGTCAATGATGCTATAGATAAATCAGCATCACGATTAGCCAATGCTCCAACCATTCCATCCCAATTACCATTACCTTGTTCATTTCCATATTTTGTTTCAATAAGAAATTTATACGGTAATTTCAATTTCTCGTGGCATATAGAAAAGGCTAAATCGGCACAAAAGCCTTCAACCATCGATGGATCTAGGATTGTACCAGGTCGAATACTGCTTTCAGTTGCCGTATCACTCTGATTCTTTTTTAACATCATAAATGGTTCATCGAAGATAGTTACAACTAATCGGGTGCGATTATCAAAAGACGTACGAAAACGATACGATGAATCATCGACAACCTAAAGAAATAATAATAACTTTATGGTAATAATCTAAATGTCGCCCTATGGAAATTCTCAATTTCTTAAACGTTCATAATATAACGACATTTGATTTTCGAGTGCTCTTATCGGTATACCCGCAAGGGAATGTTCATTCTGCTAATAAATAAAATTTCCTCGTTTGCTAATTGCTATGTTAATAGAAAAATCATAAAACAATTAGAATAGACATTTTCCTATTACTATTTGAACTTTTTACATCGAAACAAATTTAATACCTCAAGTGTCGTTGGTGGTCGAAAAAATCCAATATGTTTTGGCATATCATTTCTTGTAACACGATAAACATCAAGCGTATAATTTGTTCGTTGACCTGTCCTACTCGAAAATTGTACGTTTCCTGTTAAACCTTGAAAACTTGTATTTAATAAAGTTTCTAAATAGACTTTTCCCGGCGACCACGGTTCAATAGAATTACTTCGACAATCAATACCCGGTGTAACACCATTATAGAATTTTCCTTGTCGAAATACTTTTAACTTATCGCGGGTTTCATTCGGCGAATTCAACATACGATTTATTGTACGTAGTAACGTTTCCCATGCATCAGCAATCAATAGCGATTCAATATATGGTGCATTTGGTATATTTGCGTTTTTCATTGAATCCATATAAGTTTCATATAACATGATAGTTTGATTATCATTATTATTATTTTCATAGGATGGTATAGCAAAAAAAGTTACATTAACACCACCATAACGAAAATAATTCATATCGAGTTGTTTGGCATTTAGTGAAAGTAAGATATAATGATAATCGGCGGTTGTCATACCACGATGTTTAATTTTATCCATAACGATTTGATAGGTATCGAATGAATGAAAATCTAAAACAATATAACGACCTTGAACTTTATGAGCAGTCGTCGCCGATGACAATGAATGCATTTGTTCATTGGTCATCATTTCGATATTTTGTAATAAATCATATGAATCATCGGGATTACCTAAATAACGACTAATGATATTTATACTATGTATTTTATGTTTTGTTTGTAATTCCATTAGTTGTTTAAGACGTCGAGCACCATTTATATCATCGTATATATAAACAAGGCGAGTTATTTCATAGCGGCGTACAAATGCAACTAATGCTGGCAGAATATCAGGCATTAATGAAACATAATAATTCGTTTTTGTATAATCATGTATATCTAAACCAATAAATGGTACTTGATAAGCTGAACAAAAACTTGATAGCCAGTCAAAATCACTATGATCAATATGGCCAATGATGGACATGATTCCATTTGATAATTGGTTACATAATGATGACCATATATCAATATCCGAATTATCCAAATCGACTGTATCAATACTTTCAATAACATCATATTGAAAACGTCGTTCGACTTTGTTTAAAACATATTTACGAGCTAATGAACTGATACGACTATAGACATCTCGATCGTGCCCATTAAATAATAAACCTAAACAAAAAGTGTAAAATAAAATTCTAAGGTCATGTCGTCATTTTTGTTTTCAAACTTACCAACGGGCACAGTCAATGTTGCTTGCACACTTGATATATATACAAAAATAATGACGAGGAAATAGATGACGAACTTTTTCTTCATACTATTAATAATGATACATGTACGTTTAGATTTCTTTTTTTTTTATGATAGTTTATTCGTTAATACATTTGGCAAGAATAAGAAATATGATTGCTGTATGTTTTCATTCCACTCGATTAGTAATCGTCGGATGAGAATAGCTTTTTTCCTTCAAAGTCGGCATGACGCGACAAGGGGATTGAATCCTTGTCTCTATTCTCGTTCGTGAACTAATGCATCATCATCATCAATAATAACACAAGGAGAGAAAGAGAGAGAAAAATCTTGGTGATACTATTACGAATCTTATTGTTACTATCGCGTTCTACACGCAACGTTTTTTTTTCTTCTTTTCTGTTTAATCCATTATCAATCCACTAGTACTCTCATCTCTTTTGTGCGCGTTCATCCACTTTTCTGATTGATTATCGAAGAGACAATATTTTGTTTTCTCGTCACGATGAAAGACGCATGAGAATAGAACAACTACGAGTCATTTTTTTTTATCGTTTTCTCAAAAAGGAAAAGAGCAATTCTCTTCTTGACATGCTATGATGGATGAGTTGATGACATTGAATCAATATGACACAAGATCAAAATTAAATTTCGGTTTTTTCCCTTCGTATGACAAAAAAAAAGAGAATAAGATTTATCAGTACTCTTCATATAAAATAGAATGAACCCGGCATTATACACATTAAAAAAAAAGAAAGAAAAAACGATTGTCGATAGATGATCGTTCTATAATTGAATATCAGAATAATGCTGAAGCTTTTACTATCGGAAACCCGACTACTCAAGCACATTAATTTATAAATGGAATTTTTCATTGAAGCGACATTTAGAATTTCAATTCAAATAAATGCAACACAACAAACTATAAAAACGAAGAAAATTTAGTTAGAACTTATTTTTGGGTAGTATTTTACGATATTTTGGCTTAGAAAGAAAAGGAGTTGTGTAATCGAATAAAATATCAAGAACATTGCCAATTCGAAATGACATCTTAAGTTTTTTGCTAAAAGCCGTTCCGACATATGTGTCTATGTTATTAATTTTTTGAAATCAAGATCATCGGTCTGTCTATTTGTAACGTATTTTGTAGGGATACCAAAAACAAATATTATTCGTTCTTTCAAAGTTTTATAAAGTTTATGTAGCTACATTGTACATTATTGATACTAGTGCGCAATTGCATTTAATTGTAGTGATTGAGAACGTTCTCATGACTCATGATGCATTCTGGTTTGTATTCTTTTCGTATGATATAATTAAAACGGAAAATCATAGGAGGGTATGGTTGAATAACAAGAGTTACGGTGTACATGTATATTTATATATATATATATATTCTGTTTTGTTGTCTTTTATCATTTTATACATCAGGGACAAGAATAAACTACTGTTAGATGATTTATGAGAGACAGTATTAAGTAACTTTGTACGTAATTTAACGTTGCAATTTATTGGCACATATACCTTCTGAAATAATACGATGAAACTTTGCTACTAGCTTACGTTATATTTTACTCTATTATAAAAATAAAATGAACAGTAGAGTCAGGCGGGGTAAATCAAGAATATTTTTTGATAGTTCGTTTTGTTTCTTATATAAATTTTCTATTTTACATCGGAAAAAAGCTTTTTGGCTACCAAACATATAGAGAAAATATTTCTCTACATAACCATGTGTTTTTATTTTCAAAATATTATCCAGGGATGGATCTACACCTTTTTTTCTAGAAGCACCCATTGAAAATTT